AATTACCCTGCTATACTCTCCCACCGACGCAGCACCACAGTTTCTTTAGAAACTAACCCCCTTTACCTCGTATTTAGTTTCGCGACACTAAGTCGTAGTGCACTCCGAAGCAAAAGTTTGTCTCTTCATTTCTTTATGTAATGCTTGAGTTATAAGAGTGAAATACCTTTACTGGGTTCTTTGGTAGAATCTTTATTTCTTCCCCTCTGCAAGCTTTCTGTCTTGTCGCTATTTTTGATCAACTCGTTTCGTTTCTAGTGAGGAAAACATTTATATTGTACCAAGAGTTGTATAAGTGAGAGAAGGGCACAGTTTAACCCTTTAACTCCCAAGATCGAATTGTCAATTCTCCCCTCCGGCTACGACACATTTCTTTGTTAGTTACAAGAATTTGGTGTTCGATCCAGATAGCAATTGCTATCTGATAAGTTTGAGGTTTCTCATCACCTGTTTGCTGAATATTGTACGGATGTTGTAGGGAGAAGTTACATGCTAATCACTTGTGGGAGTCAAAGGGTTAACATAGCAAACTGAGCAATGAATAAACAAAAACAATCAACTTTCTGTTTCATTGGTAACCAGCTGGTTATAATTTTGAAATGTGGAGAATGCAATTATCTGAATTCTACCCGAGTCAAATATTCAACAAGCGCTACACAGCCTTTCTCCAGTTCCCCCGGAGTCAACTGGGGTGGTGGAGCAGGGTACTCAAGAAGCTTTCGAAATTCACTCGGGAGAAGATCAGGAAACAGGCCAATAACTTGTGCTGGGTCTGCGGACAGACAAACAAAGAGGCATTGTTATAAAAAGAATCTTGCAAAAGAAGAGTTCAGTTGCTTCCAATTGGAAGGAAGCTCGTGGATGTTTCATTCGTAGACTTTTAAGTCAGAACCACCTTGTACAGCACAATAATTTTAAAATTGTACTACATGAAAGAACTGTTCAGTCACTTTCATCTGAATAATCACACCCTAGAGCTCCATTCACATACTTAAAAATTGGAGCTTTTCTTCTGCAACTTAAAAGCCACCTAAATTACAACATCACCACAAAGATCGTTTCATCATTTGGCTAAATTTCTGCATTTCAAACACATACTTTCATAAACTATTATTTCAAACTGCACCATTGTTGACGATGCAAGAACCAAATTTGCGCAAATAGGAAATAACTAACCTGTCCCTAACTGGGCAAAGAGCTGCAACGAATCATCAAACTTCTTCTGACAGAACAAATCAAATGCATAAAGATTCTGAATACTCTCTTTTCGGGCAGCTTTCTCCTGCTCAGGTTCCACCACCATGTCCTGTTCATAAAAAAAAAAAATACGAAAGTCCGTATACAAGACTAACTTCCATGCCTTCTATTACTTACATAGTTTGTTTACTTTAAAGTGAATTTTAGCACTGATCCTTCTGTTAAAGTAAGGGGGGATTCCCTGAGAGTGCCTTTGGCACGGAGGTGGGGGTGGGGGGTGGATCAGCTCTTTCTGATCCTCTTGTAAAGGCCGGGAGGTGCCTTCAGGTTCCCTAGAGGGGTGGGTCCTGGAGTGACTGTAACCCTTTCCCCCATTGGTGGGATAAGTTTTTCTTGTTAAGTCAACAACATACAAGTCATACAATTCAGGACGTGTAATCGCACAAATCCGAGGAATCTGCATTGTATGAATTCCTTGCTTCAATAGATAACGTACTCAGATGCCAGTCACTTCCCGCTGATACACACTGTATGGCGGCGGGATAAGCCACTTCACGACAGGTGTGCGGAAATTCCTAACTGAGACCTCCCCTATGAAAATTCTTGGCTACGCCCATGAAAGGACGCTTTTCTTTCTTCAGATTTCCATGCCAGTTTCCCAGCACTCACTTGGGCTTGCTAGTAGAAAGAGGTACTACTGTGGTAGCTAGTGGAACCTTCAGTGGTACCTATCAACATTAGGGAGTCTAACACCTTACCAGTCTTACGCAAGAAATTGTTCAATTATTTTTTTTAATCATAATTATCTTATTTCAATTATGAGTTTGGAGCAATTTTTAATTTTTTTGTAATGAGTCATTGACACTGATTTTTTAACTAGGTAATCATTGATCCTATACTAAATTCTCTGAACCAGCATCATAAGAATTGAATGATTGACAGTAAGGAGAATTACAAATTTGATCTAGGAGTTAAGGGGTCACCTGCCAAATAACACATTTTAGGGCTCAAACCATCCAATGCTGAGTTCTTGGTGCAAACCAGGGCACCTTGATGTCTTCCAACAGTTAACTGCAGGTCTATGTTAAGAGCTCAAGGAAAAGAATGTCAGATTACTTACCGCTAACATAAGAGCAAGGCTGAATTGCTTGTCATGCAATAGCTGTTGTATTTGCATGGGGATAGATACAGGGATGAGTCTCCACACATAGCTTGGTGATGCTATATACAAGTGCTTTCCACGAGCAATAAATTTGGATTTTGGCAATTCAATGCTCTGGATAAGTGCACGAGGACTGATGGTTCGTATCTCCACATAGCGAGGAAGAAGGGCGATTACATAAGGTTCGGCATAATCTGTAAGAGAACAATGACGATCTTCAAAATTTAATGAATTACTGAACACACTGACAAGTGGAAGGAAGTCTAGAAGCTTTTGGTTACTTGGTTTAACCCTTTACCACCAATGATTGACCAAGACAGAATTTCTCCTTACAATATCAGTACAATATCAACCAGATAAATGATGAGAATTAAGAAAAATATCAATTTGGAGGTAGTTAGTTGATCCAATACTGAATTCTCTGAACCAACATTATGAGAATTGTATGGTTGATAGTAAGGAGAATAACAAATTTGATCTGGGATCAGCTTGCCAAACGCTGATGCTTCCTTCAATAATCAATACACATAACTTTGCTTCCTTTACTGATCAATTTTTAAATCATTTTTTTCGATATATCTAAATCCCTTTGATTACATATTGAGAACAGGAATAAAAGGGGCTTAACTTTTTAGCTGCAAGATGTGGTCATAGGTGTAACAGTGACAATTTCCTTCATATAACATTGTTGGATAATTTTGGTGAAACTCTTTGTCCCTAAGGCAAACTTCTTAAAAATTCAAACAAGTTTGACGGTGTAGAAATAAGTCATAGTAACTCGCTTTGGGAGCAGTACACATGGAGAACATTGCCAAAGAGATCTGTTATATCAAATTACCAATCACTGTCTAATAACAATAATAATAATAATAATAATAATAGTGTTTAATATTTAGTAAGCAAACTTGCCATGGCTGTTTCAGTGGGGTTGTCAAGAATTGCCTTGTTGGTTAGGTAATGTTAAAATTTTGAATAAAATGTAGAACAAGTTCCTAAAATTGAAAAAGAGTCAAAACCTTAAAATATGTAAATAAATTAAATATCTAAGTAAAAATTGCTTAAAATTTGTTGAAATTGTTTAAGAAAGTTTTAATGTTTGCTTCAAAATCATATACATGTAAAAAAAATTTTGTATGGACTTGTGAAAAAGAGTCGATATTTCACCTAGCTCTGTTGGTGTATCTGACCATGTCAGGGTCTGTTTCTGCGTCTTCTTTCCATCACTGTCAGTTATAATGCTGATATCATCGCGACAAAGAATAAGTTCTCCACTTGGCAAAGAAGCTATTGTGGGCTCCAAATGACGACCAGTGGAAAACAGCTCTGTTGCAGCACCAGTGCCAGTCTACAAAAGAAAAAAGTGTTTGTTGTTTTGTTTCAACCATTTACTACCCGAGGGAAATGCCAAATTTTTCTAAAATGAGAACCACGAACCATTAGACCAAGTAAACAATATCATTTTAAAGGTATTTTCTGGGGTATGCTTTAAAGGACACCAACAGGTATGGAGGAGGTGACTGTGGAGACTGAGACATGTGCAAAGTTTAAAGTAAAGAAAAGTTGAAAGTTTTTGTTTGCCTCATACATCGAGGGTACAGCACTAAACTATGGCTTAAATTGCAGCAAAAGTTGCAGGGGTGCAAATCAAGTCTTCTATTGGAGGGGACCATGATCTTATACCTTCAATATGATATCTTGCAATGACCTTTCCATGGTGAAAATTTTCAGAAAAAATTATCTAATAATCAGCATGTAATGGCACCTAAAGCCATATGGCACTCTTGGTCATTAATGGGCAATTATTTTTTACAGTAGGTAAGTGTTTTGAACCCAGGGATATCATGTGATCATGTAGTCTGATAGTCTGCGTGAAGGTAGTCCTGAGTCAATACTACCAATAATTATAAGTCCTTCTTTGAAATGCTCTCACCTGAACGATCAAACTGCATAATCAAAACTCATTTGAAAAGACTTATCTACTATGACAACCATGGTGGCCACTATGGTTATTGCATGACAAGCACTAGAGTTGTTAGTGTGTGAAATGATTTGAATTGACTCACTCTGTTGTATATAGCCAACATTAAAATGATCAAAGAAAAATTTAAGCCTTCATTCAACACTCCTTTATGGCAAAGCAACCACAATTTGGATATTCCAAAATGCCTCCTTCAGAATCTAACTTGGAAAGTTTACTTCTTCACAGCAATTCCTGCATGGTTTTGTTATACACAGCTGTATCTTTGGAAGTTATGAATGTAGGCTGAATGATGCAATCCCCTGACCCTTTCACTTGCAAAAATGATTTTCATGTAACTTCTCCCTACAACATCCATACATTATCCAGCAAACAGAAAATGAGAATACTCAAACCTATCAGGTGAAAGTTCTTATCTTGATCTAACACTAAATTCTTGTAACTAATTTACAAGGAAATGTGTAGCAGCCAGAGGGGAGAATAACATTGTAGCACCTTTATGAGAGAGTATTCTTTTTTGAAGCCAACACAGAGTGAGTCCTCAGACCAAACTAATGCCTTTGCTGCATCTGGAACCAGAAGATCTTCTCGTTCTTGGAATTCTCCATTCCTCCAACTAAATAACTAAAGGATTGAAATTTCAGTTGAATTAAGGAAACATTACATAACAAACCAGTTTTTATAGCTAGAAAAATTAAGCAGGCAACATTTTGATAAGTTGGAAATTTTTGCCCAGAATCAGACAAATGCCCTTCACCCTTACACCCTAACATCATTATGCATATTCTCTATACATTTCCTAAGTTCTAACAAGGAGAATTTGTAAAACCATCAAGAGCTTTGTTAGTTGCTGATCATTTCTTTTATTCTTGTGACTTAAACATTTGATTCAAGGGATCGATTGTAAAGAGGAATAAGAATCTTGTCACTCTTAGGGATTAAAGGGTTAAAGGGCTTTTTTTTCTAACTAGCTTGGACAGGAGAGCCATCAGCAATCACGGAATCTCCTCCCCTTCCATCATTCCCTCACCCACTCCTTTTTCCTTCGGTAGGATGAACCAAGAACCCTTCCTTTATATCTCCCTTGTGACGTTGACAGTGCTACCCTGCACTAAATTTTTCACTATGTATTGTTCACTCACCTGTAGTTTTCGTTTTACCGAAACACATAGCTTTAGTTCAAGAGCTGGTGAAGGATCTAAATAAATAATAATAAAAATACAATTATTTCCCAATTAAGAACTGGTAGGGAAACATCTTGTGCCAATGAAACTGGAGTAGGCTCTGGTGATGAGGTGTCAGGAGTGACCAGGAGAACAGGAGCTGGATTGAAACATACATCTCAGGCTGGTTTTCTTAAGTTCACCCATAACTCCCAAAATCTGATTGTTAATTCTCCCCTGTAGCTGCTACACATTTCCTGTAAATTAGTTATGAGAACTTGGTGCTAGAGCAAGATAGCAGCTTCTACAAGTACCTGAGAAGTCTGAATATTCTCATTACCTTTTTGCTGAATAATGTATGGATATTATAGGGAGAAGTTTCATGTTAATCATGTCTATGAGTTTAAGGGTTAACAAAGTAACAGTGTAAATGGGAAACCTGAACAGATATTTGGAAAATCTTTAAACTTACCAAACACTGAGGACTGTTTCCTCTCCTGTTAAAATAAAGGAAAAATAGAAGTTTGAAACCAAACATACTGACAACTTAATTTCTTCAAAGGGGTTTACTTATGGAAGAGGTGATTCCATGAAATCAACTTTCTTTACTGAAGACATTTGCCAGTCAGAGTGACTTGGTATCTTCCAGGGAGAGTTGCAATTGTCATCTCAGTGTAAAGATCCAAAAAAAATAAAAAATTTTAAAAAAATTTAAAAAATATATACATATATATATGTAATCCACTCAAAGTGGAGTTTTGTCCAAACACGATACTTCAAAATAGCCTCCAAACTCTGCTTAGGCAACAATATGGTTTAAGTGCAGGAGTTACCACAATTTTTACACACTGTTAAAATCTTTGAAAACTCTTTAGGGTGGCCAATTTACATTTTATTTTTATAATTAATTATCAACTCAGTTGATAAAACTAACTTATTACTAAATCTAACCTTTATATCCACAGCAAAAACACTGGCTCCTTTTGTTTTGTGCAAGGTAAACTTGTGAGCAAAGGTCTCCAAGTTATGTACACTAACAACAGAATCTGAGTGAAAAAATACCAGAATTAGTAAATTTCCAAATTACATGTACCGGTATATCACTAATAAGTACTATCAAAATGAGATCGTACTGTTGAAATTATTAAATGACAAACTAATGTATAAAATAATCCAAAAGTAGGACACAGAAACCTGACACTTGCAGAGGGCTCAATTTAACCCTTTACACCCTAACATCAGTATGCATATTCTCCATACTGTTCTCTATACATTTCCAAAGAGGCTGACAAGGAGAATTTCTCTCACAATCAAGAGCTGCTTCAGTTGGTGATCATCTCCTCTACTCTCACAACTTTCATGTGTGATTCAGGGGTAATATTGTGAGGAGAAATTAGATGCTAGTCACTCTTAGGAGCTAAAGGGTTAATACCAACATATGACATGAATTTGTAAAGTTAAAAAATTTATTTCACTCTCCTCGCATTACCTGACAAACTTATCAGTAGATTCAGTTGCTCAACTACTGCTAACTGCAAGAAAATATAAAAAAAATGATTATAAGTTTTAATTCAAAACATTTATTTTAGTCAGACTTGAATGCTCTCAGGCAGCAACAGAATCAAAGTTGGAGAGCTGTCAGAGTTGTAAGGATCCTAACAATCCCATTCATTGGCTACATTACAAAAGTTTGTACACTGTCTTCCAGACTGTTCCAGCTATTAGTAATTAGAGAAAAGCAGGGGAAAAAAACAGTGGTTGGCTGGAAAACACAATCACTTTTTTCTGTTTACCCTATTTTCCATCAACCCAACCAACATTAAACCTTTAACTCCCATGAGTGACCAAGACAGAATTTCTCCTTACAATATCAATACAATATCAAGCAGACAAGTGATGAGAATAAAGAAAAAAATATCAATTATGGATTATAGGTTGATCCAATACCAAATTCTCCATGCTAATATCACAAGAACTGTATGACAGATCATAAGGAGAACTACTAATGAGATATTGGGAGTTAAAGGTTAAATGATGATGATGATGATGATGATGATGATGATGATGATGATGATGATGATGAGACATTTTCATAAAGCACATTATCTATACTACTATGCTATGATGCACTTAATACTTTGCAGGAGGACTTTCCATATTGCACTGAGCGGTTTATAATTTTTGAAAGGGAATTTTGTAGATACCCCCAATTGTGAAAATTTTGGAAACAAGGCTAGACCAGAAAATATGTTCCCTAATCTGTAAGAACTGCATGGGTTCTTTCACAAGTCCCCTTCCAACCAGAACAAACAGGAAGCAAGAGATGGAACCAACAACTTTCATTGATTAAGACTAGAATGTCTACCACTTGCAGACACCATAACAAAGGCAGCACATTCTCCTCACTAGTTTGAGGATCCTAAGTGTTGGTCTGGTCAAGGCTTGAACCCTCAACTTCCCACATGGCAGACCAACGTTCTACCACCTGAGGTAGCCAGGCAATGGTTAAGACCTTACAGCAAGCGCAATAAGTTGACTTATTATAAAAAGGAATTGAGTTGCAAAAATTCAATGAATCAGTGAATACCTTTGTCAATAAAACCGCTCAGAGAATTAGCCATTACAGCATCATAGTGTTGTATGTTATTTGTATAACTTACCTGTGATATAGGCTTCTTTGAGAACAATTTGTTGGAGCTTCGTAGCTCCACGTCAAACCTGTTGTCACCTATTTTTAACAGAAACAAAATTAAAGATGAGAAAGAATGAATTATCATCAGTCACTTTAGAGTCTATAACTGCACAGGGCTCCCACAGGATTCCACCAAGGCAACCAGTCCAACACTTCCTTTCAGAGCCACACCCCATGACAAGAAAACTGCTGTAACCTTTCTTTCAGGAAGGACAGCAGTCAGCCAATTTAGGAAATAACAACAAAGACAATATTTCTTATCAGCGCAAAAGGCCAGTGTTCTTCACAGATTTTTAAGCCCTTGAAATGCTAGTGACCAGCATCTATTTTCTCCCTATAGTAATACAGCTGAATCATTTATAAAGGTCACAAGAATAAAGGGCAGAGTATGGAGAATATCAATACTGATGCTTAGGTGTAAGAGGTTAAGTAGCCAGACATGAAAAAGCAACAGTTGGCAGTAAACAAGTGAGTGTGTAGCATCAATTCTGCTAGAACCTGATCCTCTTATTTTTACTCACTGTTTCCTTTCCAGTTTTATTTAATCCTCTGCGATACATTTGAAACCAAAGCAAGGGTTATAATCTATTTCGGATCAAGACAAGTCTTTTATGGTTTCTCCTAATTAGAGTAGACAGTTGTTTGGAAAAAAAAGCTGATGAAATCACTGGTGGCAGTTGCTTCAGGGGAACACTAAAAAGCCTTAAAAATTTGTTGTGGGTGTAGCAGAATTTTATTACCTGTGCCATCTAAAACACCATACAAAAGCAAGTGCCCCTGTCTTGTTCCAACAAGAAGATTGTCACCTGAAACAAATATTAATAACATATCCTGAGAGGATGAATTGCTAAAACACATCTCCCCAGTTGTTATTCTGCAACCCAGTTGACCCATTTAACAAATAAAGTCCACATTGATAGACGCCTATTCACTAATAGATCGAAGACAACATCAAGACGTGGTAAGAACAAAAGAAATGCGTCAATGATGTTCTACCACATTTTGAAATTTTGTGTACTATTACTATACAGAACCACAGCAACAAGGATTTTGTACAAAACCAGTCCCCCTCCTAGCCCCAATCTGTGTGGCTATCCATATAAGTTTGACTTTTGCGCAGATCATGCAAATAAAAGGTGTAAGCGTGAGTTGTAATGTAATTGCAGGTAACATTCTTATGCCAGTCATATTCCAAAATCGTCAGAAATTATAACCACCCCTCTGGCAATGATTTGTAAGTAAGAGAGTTTGGTTGAGTCATCAGCAAGTTAAATTCCCCTTAAATTTATTGATGGTGTGTTGGTTCTAGATTCTATCTGTTTTATTTGATACAAAAACAAAATGTCATCAATAGTAAAATCATCCATGCATCTGTACTGTTATAGATCATTGGTAAAAACTAATCACAGTGAGTGTAAAATTAACAATTATTCAATTATTGGAGGTGAATATTTACCAAGCTGTGAAGTAGTGAGGTAAATATCCACCATTTTCACTGACACTGAGGTGAAAATTTTTTTATATGTACCACACAGAAACCAAAAAAGTTTGTTTATTTCTGTCAATATACCAAAAATGATAGGATATTAAATTGTTGGCCTGCACTTTTGTTTCTTAGGTTGCTCAGAGGTAAATAGTACTTGCTAATCACTTCCAAACCAGTCAATCAATGCATGCCAAAAGCACTACTCATCTGTGTGGTACATACTGACTCGGCTTATCATATAAAGAATGAGTGATTTCATTTCTAGATTATAATAAGGCAACGTTAGTCATGTCACAAATAAGAAAATTATAAATTAGAATTTAAACGTGTTCTCTGAAACACAAAACACAGAATCCAGATTTTATAAGACTGCTCATTAAAACATTACCCGTCAAAGTTTGACCAACAGCTGATGGCTAGAAGCTGTACAAGCGTGCTTTTAGTTTCAAGAGAAATTTTAGCTGTTATTTTATCACGGAGTATTTTGTAATTTCCGATCTTACCAAAAGTAGCTATGCAATCTATTTGCAATGGCAGCTTCTCCAGGATAACTGCATGTTCAAATGCATCGTGCATGTTTGCATACCACTCTGATTTCAGGAGCTTTTAGACCAGTACTGTTCATGATTACATATCGCTTACTACATGTTCCGATGAGTGTCCTCGGATGAAAGCCATTATTCTGAGCCTGCGGTCATTCGCAACATAGCGGTTTCATCTCTTTGAACGATCGCCAATTTTCAAATTAAAACGAAGGGAAACGAAACCAAAAGTACTAAGATGGCTGAAACCGCTCAAAAATTCTCAAGTAATAATGTATTATTGGTTAATGGCAGCAATTCGGGGTTTTTCTCGCATTGACTGAGCAAACGAAATAAAACCTGTCTGAATGTCACATGACTGATGACGTTCGATGACATCAGTTCCGTTTGTAGCGCTCGGTCTGTGCTCTGCCATCAACTTCACATTTACAACTGACGCGGAAACTGTCAAGAAAATCTTCACGAATCGTGAACATCCACCTTCATTTCAACGATATTTCCAGCAGGTTGGTTTCAAGAAATTCGCATGTCAATCCAGAATCTCCAAACTTACGGTAATTTCTCTTCATTCGGCATTTTTTTCGCCTTATTAGGTTCAAGCTTCAACTACTGTTTAACAGATAATTTATCTCTCTGCTGTCTCTCATTCTTCAGATCCCTTCTCGGATGCTTCTAAGGGTACCGATGAAATATCAGCTCAAACCCAACCAATACACATCCGCATACAACAGAGAAATGGTCGTAAAACTTTGACCACGGTACAAGGAATCGAAGAATGCTATGACAAGAAGAAACTTGTGAAAGCTTTCAAAAAGGTTTGTTCAAACGCTCATGATCATGGCGAGTGTAAAGCATTTCAACGCTACATTTCTTAGAGAAATTGGCGTATTGCAAATCCGTTCGATACACTGGCAATCAGATCTTATTATGACAAGCATACTTTTACTTTCTACCACAAGAATATCGACAAGAAATCAACGTATGACTTTGCTGAAGTAAAATATTGTCAAATTTCGAACTAAATTGAGCCTAATAGACCCAAAGCAAGTCTTAGCCGCAAGTTGAAGCATGGAAATATATATATATAAATACTTTCATTTATTTCGGAGCCCTATTACGATGGCTATGAAGTGTCAGGGACAGGATGCGATTCTATACAAAATATATAACTAAACCTTTTTCCTTGATTTTCGTGAACTGTTTCTGCACAGTCGCAACTTTTTTTTATGCATATTTAATTTCCTTTTCTTATACGTTTGATTTTTGTTTAAAAAAAGAGAAGTTTTTCCTCAAAGTCTTCCGCGGTAAACTACAGTCATGGTCCAAAAAGAACTGGTTCGAAACTTAGTGCAGATTTTTGGTGACAAATGATTTGTGCCCAGGGCAGTATTGCATAGATCTTCATATAAAAATGCTAGTTAGATACATAGTGAATGATGCAATCAATTGTTTACCAGAAACTTTAGCAAGTCTGATTGTTCAACACAAGCAATTTACTTTTATGTTCTAAATTGTACTGTATTTTTGCTTGTTTCAGAGCAAGACAATGAATTGAAAATAAAGTTTTCAAATTCATGTACCAACATTATAAGTGAATTAATTTGCGATGGTAATAGGACTGAGTGGAGTCCAATTCGGTCTGTAATCATACAAGCGATAACAAAACAGGACAGCCACTTAGTGGGAGTCCAATTTTTTCATCACAAGTATAATAATTATGACAATAAGTCATAATATGGCTTAGTGTTGTCCAATTCGGTCCAATCAGTAACGATAATTACAATTTCCCAGAAAGTAAGAAGAGCCAAGTTATGAAAGAAGGGGCAAATTTGCATTAAAAGATTGACAGAGTTGGCCTAAATTGTTTAATTATTTGATTTGTTGATGTATAATACAACTTTGATTGTGATTGGTTGATTTAAAATGAAACTTCGAATGTGATTGGTTGATTTAAGACTACAACTTTCTATGTGATTGGCCTATTGAACTCTTCGATAACAAACTCTTATTACAAACTGTCTGACAACATCTTGGCAAAGGAATTGGTGGAAAATAGGAGTTTTTTAAACCACTTGCAATCAAGGAGAATGGACTTTATGGTCAATTTGAAAATAGCTTGGAATTTGTAAATGTTTTTGAAGTACTTTCAAGTGCCCTGATTGGTTATAAACCTAGTTTTATTGGAGTGGTAACCTGTAGAAAATTAGAACATGCTGTTGCTGTGTTTTAAGTTTATTTTATAGAGCAAGAGACCACAATTACTATTGGTTAACTGGTATAATAACCCACTTGGGATGTTTCAAGAACTGGAGTAAAGTGAAAAAATCGCTCACCCCATGTACATGCTTTACAATTGTGTATTGATTGTGACATTTCAAATGCTATATGGCCAGTCTTTGTTAGATGACGAGGTTGAAATTTTATTTGTCACTATTTTAGGCACCTTGGTTTGATGTTATTGGTTGGTTATGGCACGCTGTCACTAGTGCATTTTGATCCTCATTGTTATTCTGAGTAGTAGACATTGTTTCCCCTATAGGTTCACTTTGTTACTGATCAGCTATCATGCTTTTTGATAGTAGGCATTCATGTGTAAGGAATTTCAATTCTGTTATCTCTATTGATGTTTTTAGGAATAAATCTAATGTGGCTGGCTTCTCTAACCCTTCATGTGTTACAGGGAGAGTCTTAATCTATATACCTAACTTGGTCCTAAACAGGAACCTGTCCTGTTTCATTGGGTGTGTTCTAAAACCACCATATTCTGAATGCAAGCAAGCTGTAGCATGAAAGTGCAGTAGATAGTGGTAACTACCCTTGAAACAATGAGGGACATGTGTTCAATATTTTTCCTTTTTTTGCCTTTGCAGGAATTCAACTGTAATGGAACAGTTGTTGAAAACTCAGAATATGGGGAGGTGATACAGCTACAAGGTGACCAGCGTCAGAATATCAGTGATTTTCTGAGACAGCTGAAACTGGCTAAACCAGACCAGATACATATGCATGGTTTCTAGAACTTACTCCTTAGCATTGGGGTTTGCATATATATAAGTTTACTCTTATTACCAAGTAAGATCTAGAAAAAAACCATCAAAGTGAAGGCTGATTTAGATCTAACTAAGAACACTGTTTTGTGGTAAACTTTAGGACTAATTATGTTTACCTTAAAATCAGAAATTTCTTTAAAGATTAATGTTTGGCTGTGTTCGTGATGTTGACAGATAGAATGTTGAGTAGATAGTATCAGTTCTCTAGTGGCTTCTGCTTCTTCATATGTTCAGGACAGCCATGGAAATACTGTTAATACTAACCTGTAACTTGGAAAACATAAGCAATAAAAAAAAGAAACATTTACTAGCATTGGTTTGTTTGCCTTTTGTTAATGGGAAC